AAAATGCGTTTTGAGTGATTGTTATGATTGAAATAATAATAACTTTTGACCTTGCTTTTAATCCTTCCTCATTTATTTTATTAGCGACTAAATCTAAATCTAATCAGCAGGATTAAGAAAATATTTTCGTAATTTAGAGAATTCAATAAAATTGATAATTATAATGAATATTAAATTAACTCCTCTTGTGGTTTTAGGTAAATTAAAAGCTTGCTTTTTTTTAAAGGTTAAGATGTTGAAACAAATTAAGCTTATAAAATAACAAAATTCACAGGAAAGGTATTAATCTACAAATAAAATCCTAAACTAAATTTCTCTGAAAAAAATTAACACTCAAAAGAACATATTAGGTATCATGTAAATAAATAATAGCTTAATGGAAATATTACATCAGTTTCCATTAACCAAATACAAATAATTTGTTTATGATGAAACTTTTGATATGGGCCATTATCTTCAACTATAGAACTGTAGACCAGCAAATGTATGAAAAAAACTGAGAAAAATATATTTAAAAATAGTTTTTCAAAAATAAATTAAATTATAACTTTCGACAATATCATTCCAGAACACTGAGAAAAAAAGTATAGGCAAACCAATTATAATATGAAAAAATTTAACCGAGTGTCTGGTTCTATGGGAACATCAAAAAGCTCAGTAGTTCTATTTAAAGAAGCACTTTGTCGAAGATTTTGTAACACTCAACAACAAAATATAGTTTTATAATATGTGATGAAATTTGGTAGTTTTATCATGATACCTTAAAGCATTTCATAAAATCGGAAAATAAAAAAAAAATGAATGATTTAAATTACGTATATTTTGGCTTGGTTTTATTATCAAGAAAGAAGTTTTTTTAAATTTTATTAGTTTTTTTTAATAATAATTTCACTTGAATTATTCCCCGTAATCAAACAACCCCAAAAGCATTGCTAAAATTAAAGACGAAACATTTTCTTAAAGCTTTAACTTATGAGTTTCATTTATAAAATATTATCTTTGTTTTTATTTGTAAAGCTGAAATTTTAGGTATGCATCTAAATAATGAATGATTTAAATTAAAAAATTATCACATCCCTTTCATATGTGTTTTTAATATTTAAAATTTAAAAATGTCAACTTTAATTAAGATTAATATCAGCACTCAAGTTTTTCTTTAAAACACCCTTTTAACCCTAGTGATAGTCATATGACATTTAGATATCAGAAATTTTACCATGAAATATCAAACACTATCGATAGTTGAGAAGAGGGACATGAGACCTTATGTCTCTCTTTTAACATTATCTATGAACGATGATAAAGTTCACTTCGGATGTAACCTTCCGTGGCCATTTATCTTCTTTCAGTAAAAGCACCAACAGTTAGAAGATAAATCGTTCGTAAGCAACATCTAGAGATACTTTTAAAGTAATGCCTTCTAAGGATTAAAGAAGTAAGTTTGAAATTGATTTCAGGAAAAAGAAATTTGTGACGAGAATTGCATCATTATAATTCTAAAAATATATTTGGACTCCAATAACAAATATTTTTTTTAAGAAACGTGCAGCGAAAAAAAGTAAACAGTGACATATTCAGCTTTCAAAAGATAATCTTTATTTTCAGTTGCAAAAATCCTTTTTTTAAGATTTGCATTCTCTTAATACAGAACCTACTTACGTGTAAGCATGTACCGATAAAACATCAAGGAAAATGAAATGAGACTTTAAAATTCATTTTGTAAATGTTAGTAATGGTACAAGTACAAGGTACAATGATATAAAGCTACTCAATTTCGACCAACATAGTGCCTGATGAACGGATGTTAATGAAACTTAGCTTGTTTCTTACATGGATTATGGAAAAAATAAATCTTCAATAAAAAATAGTTCATGTTTTGACCAACAGATGCGATTTTTATATGCTTCGTTAATTTACTACGTAGAGGTTTTATAAGTCAGTATTGTTCTGAATCCTTCAAGGTTGATTAGGGTGTTAGACAAGGCTGTATACTTTCATCAACTATAGTTTTAATTGCCATAGGTATCAGAGAACAAGAAAGGTATAAATTGGAACCTTGTTGAATATCTTTCGGACCTTGATTTTGCAAATGACAGATATTTACTGGCCAAAACCCTTCAAGGCACACAAACAAACACAATCACATCAATAAAGTTCTTTTTCCCCATGCTGCTGCAAAATAAAGAGATAAGAAAGATGATTACTTAATTTGAAGAAACTGGAGAGTTTGACATGTATAGCAAGGGAGAAGCTGGAATTGGCTTTCAAATGAAATTGGCTTGCATACAATGCACGCCACATATAAAATGTTTTTTTTTAAAGAGCTAAATGAAAAAACGTAAGTTGGAAAAAAAGCTTTGATTCATTGTTCACTCTGCTTTGCAAAAATATGACTGTTTTGGTTTTATGATCACAAGACTGGTTGTAAAGTTTCTAGACAGATAGCACTACAGAATGAAAAAGCAATAAAATAATATTTTTTGCTACATATTACACACCATTTCAAGTGAAATATTTACAAAATAATGTAATAGATTTATTCCAAGACTGCACANACAAACACAATCACATCAATAAAGTTATTTTTCCCTATGCCGCTGCAAAATAAAGAGATAAGAAAGATGATTACTCAATTTGAAGAAACTGAAGAGTTAGACATGTATAGCAAGGGAGAAGCTGGAATTGGCCTTCAAATGAAACTGGCTTGCATACAATGCACGCCACATATAAAATGATTTTTTTTAAAGAGCTAAATGAAAAAACACAAGCAGCTGGAATTGGCTTTCAAATGAAACTGGCTTGCATACAAAGCACGCCACATATAAAATGGTTTTTCTTAAAGAACTAAATGCAAAAACATAAGTTGGAAAAAAAGCTTTGATTCATTGCTCACTCTGCTTTGCAAAAATATGACTGTTTTGGTTTTATGATCACAAGACAAGTTGCAAAGTTTCTAGACGGATAGCGCTACAGAATGAGAAAGCAGTGCAATAATATTTTTTGCTACATATTACACACCATTTCAAGTGAAGTATTTACAAAGTAATGTAATAGATTTATTCCAAGACTGCACAGCGCTGTTGCTGTAAATTGGAAATTGTGGTTACCATGATAACATTGTTTTATAATTTTTCACAGTTAGCAACACCATCTGTTGACAAACTTTGCAACTAAATTGGAAATCGATTGTGAATAAGATTCTTTGTTAAGTTGAATATAACAAATCGTATATATATATATATATATATATATATTTTCTGAAATTTTACAGTTATGCTTACATAGGTATAAAAATTTTTAAAATTAAGGATAAATTTTATACAAATATCAATACAAATTATTAATGTCAACGCATTAAAACACTCTATTAGTAGATAAGGCTAAAAAAATTTGGATGCAGAATTATATTTTCAAAAAGTCAAAATTTATAAAGTAAAAATCTTATTTTGAAACTAAAATGACCCTCCTTTTATTCTTAATTTTAAATTATGTCTACAACAAACCTTCTTAGTATGAATATACAATTAAATCTAACATCTTATCTTGAGTGCTCATTTGCAAAATGCTTTCTTGAAATTAGTGAAGGAATTCTGTTTACTCCTCTAAAATTTGTCTAAACATCACAGCTTTAATTAAAAGTTATTTAGAAACTTGCACTATGAATTCCTCATAAAACTTTGAAATTTCAACTTCTTTGATGTTTTGCAAGGCTGTAATGTAAGCTCATGTACTTTGTTTTAGATTATGATGTTAGTAATAAGTTCGGTTTTATGTATCTGTTATCTCGCTAACTAAATGCTAATTATTTTACATACAATAAGCAGACATAGATAAGCAGACGTAATAGGGTTTTTTTTTGTTTATCTAAAAGTAGTTTGGTTTCATTCCTAATTTGAAAGTAAAATTGTTAATCACAAGTAGCTTTATTTTCACTTTAATTTACACACTCTGTAAACAGAGTTTTGAGATAAATATAACTATAAATATAATCCATACAGTACTATTTGAATTTTACAACAAATCATACAGAAAAGAGAAGTATTGGTTGGTGTCAATAACGAGCTATAGTGGCTTTCTTCTCAGCCACTTTGACATCGTAATTCATTTTCAAACATATTTTTACTGATTTAAAAATTATCCACATTGCATGAAAACACAATACACGAGTAAAAGCATTACCTCTTAAAACAAGTTGTCCATTTCTGGCTTCACTCATACTTTTAGGCTTTTTCCACCAGAAAGTGTTAAGGTAAAAATTTTAAATTATACTAAAAAATAAAGACAATGTGCTAGCACTTTTTATAATAATTTTTCAAAAATGTTTTACATGGCATTATTTGATACCATTTAATACTAGTTTCAATTATTTATTTTCACTATAGATGTGACTTAATTTATCAAGTTGTGTCAAGATTTGGAGAAAATTTTTTTTATATAACCATCCAAACAAAATTTTTATTTTTATCAATAAGATTATTCAAAGTCAAATTTAAAGTTGTTTTCATAAAACCTGTAATATACTAGAAAAACGAAAAATTGGCTCAATGTAGTTTTTAGTACTTAGTTCTCGGTAGAGTTTTACTTAGCACTTCAGTCTCACGATCACTTTTAACTTTCATTCACTCATTGAGCTATAGTATTCGCAAATAAAATCGGCGTTTTAAGGTTTCGCGATCTCCACATTTTCCCTATCTCCGTTACAATGATGTGCACAAATATTACTTTTTCACCGGCGAGTACGTTATTATTATATTAATATTATAATATTATATAGTATGAGTTATAGATACTTCTTAACTGCCGTTTAAATAAAAAGAGTATCGTTTCTGCCTGTCACATCATTACCTAAGGGAAAAAGTAAAAAATGGGAGCTTGAGACGCCAATTAAAATTACAAGCAGTATATAGTCAGCTTTATGTCCAAGAATATATATTTTTTCGTTTTAAAATGTTATTTTTCGTTTAAAAAATCATGTGCCAATCAATATTTTATTATTTCAGATTGGCCTCTGATGGTGATTGGTGGAATTCCCCTCGCTTTCCCCTGCAGACATTGTGCCAAGTTCGAGCTGCCATTCAAGGAGGGCTCCGAACTTACATCTGCCGCTGCGTGCTACCCATCAACGTCTTCAACGAGAAGATCTTCTCTGTGGTATGGTTCTTCCTCGCTTTCATCCTGCCCCTCAACACAATAAGCCTGGCAATATGGGTTTGGCGAATCTTCCCTTGCAATCGCCTCGCCTTTGTCCGCCTCACTCTCTGGAGAACAAGGCTCTTCAACTTGTCCGAGATATCTAGAGCCTCGAAAAAGGTCGAAACCAACTATCTCGGCTGGGATGGTGTATTTGTCCTAAGGTTGATTGAGCACAACCATGGTAGCAATCTCGCTACCGTCATCCTCGGTAAGTTGTGGGAGTTTTACGCCAATCAAATGAAGGCCCAGGAGGAAGGAGCTGTAGATCTGGAGTTGGGCAGGACGGGAGAAATGGGCAGCGTGACGTCAGTGGCACCGTCCACGTCATGGCACTCATGCCATGCTGGTGCATGCCATCTTGGACATTTTACGGGCCAGCAGAAGAGGTCCGCTGCACCTCCGCACAATGGGTACTGGAGTAAATGTTCATGATCCTAGTAGGATTAAACAATTAGCTAATCTAGGTGCTTGAATATATTTCAAATTGCTAAATTCACTTTAAAAACAAAACAAGATATTTAGATTGTTCACTTGAGGGTTTCTTCTGTCTATTTGACATTTCATCATCTGTTCTCACTAATTCTCATTCATTAAGAAATGAACTTGACTTTTGTCTGCATCACAAGCCCAAACTGTCATCTGCCAGTGTGTAATAAGCCAGCTGCTGACAACAGCCAACTGGAGTGGATTATTGACACAGTCTATTCCAGGCAACTTTCAGTGTTCTACTAATCAAACAAAAAGGCAAGTTCTCTTATAATTTGAATTAATATAATACGATCTTGAATTTTAAAATTCCATTCAAAAATAAATTACGTATTGCAGCTTTTGTGAATTTATGTTTTCCTCACATTTTTACCTGCAATAAATTAGAATATTTCTGCAATTTAAAAAGTAAACTTTTCTTATAATTAGATACTTGATTTTGTCAGGCAATTCATAATAAACAAAACAAAAAAAACAATTTCCTTCGAAGAGTACATGGAAAAATAGGAAAGGTATTTTCTTTTTTGACCCTTCCTTTTTTAACCCAATAATTTAAGGATATAAAGAAGCAATAAGTCAAATGCAACTTTTAATATATTGTCTTGAATATATTTGGGATTAATAAGTTAAATATAAATTCTAAAGTTTAATGGACGCTGGACAATTTGGGTTAAATATTGTTTTTAGTTAAATAATTCAATATCGGAAGATAATAAAATGTAAATAGTTAATTTAGTTTTCTAAGGTTGCTTAAGAATAAAACATAAGATTATAGCATAAAAACATACTTTTAAGCATGATTAAACATAATTTTAATCATGATTAAACATAATGTTTAGTATAACATTTCAAGCTTGCCGAACAGTAATTTATAAAAATGTTTTTAGTACATTATCTTATAGACGTTGAGAAACAAACAGTCAAACATAATTTTTTATCATATTGCTTTAAAAACAACAGTAAATGCATGAAAATGTATCTACATAAGGAAATCAGCAGCAGTATGCTTTGATACATTAATTATTTTGTTTCATAGCCTGCAGAATTTGTACAATTATGTCAAAGAAAGATATAAAAATGAGAGGAAATATCTCTGGGTATAACAAAACTCAATCAATGCCTTCAAAATCACCTTATTTGTTTAAGCTGCGCCCCCCCCATAATATATTTATTTATCAGCTTTACATCATCTGTTAAAATGCCTTTGGATAACGAAAAAAAATTATCCGCTTCTTAATTAGTAAAGCAAATTTTATTCGCAGATGTTTAACAGACACCGCATAATTAACGCGTATATTATTTGCGCTTGCTTAACAACGCAATGTTCTTTAAAGAATATTCTCGAATGTTGTTCAATTGAAATTAAAATAAATACGCCAACGTAATGAAAAATGGAAATGATTTGTTTATGTAAGTGGTTCCCTACTGAACAGATGTCTTTAATTGTTTCAGTTGAATAGTTCCTTTTCTCGTTTCAGGTTATTACCCTTTTTTTATGTATTATGCTATTCTTTCGCTATTACTTTATCGTGCATAATGCGTACTCCAGACTAATTTAACATGCATGACGAGCTAGAGTTTTAATACGGTAATACTTTATTTTCTTATTCAATATTTCTGTTTAACTGATTTTGCCTCTCCGAAGGTAACGACTCACGTTAATTGCTGATAAAATCATAAGCAGTAATTTTCGAAAAACAAATGTGCATCCTTTCGATGCCCCTGTTAATTAAAATTTCCTTCACGGAGAATTTTAATAAATATGTTGGCCATATAATTTGTTTTCTAGAATGAAAAGGCCAGAAGTTCTGAGTTAATATTATTAACGATGTTTGCAATTTTTTTTTACAATGGCAGGCACTAAATTTGAATCTTTGCCTATGTAGATGCCGGAGTTGTTACTCATTTAGCTTTACCCAGTGGAAACCTGTGAATCAAAGTCACGGAGGCGAGCAACGTTGCCCACGCCACACTGCCTCAAACCCGTTTATAAGGTGGGTCACATTCACACATCACACGCACACACAACAGAGGACAGCACAAGGAGAGAGAGAGAGAGAGAGAGAAACATTCATGCCCAGAGCGGGATTCGAACCAGCAGCCAATGACTTCGCAGTCAGGCGTGCTAACCACTCGGCCACCTGGCCGGCATGCTTGCAATTGTAAATAAAATGTAAAAACTTGAAATTCTTGGCTTAATCCGTGAAAATGAGAACTTTGTCAAAAGTGTTCAAATATGATCAGCCTTACACATTATTTTATCCTTTTTTAAAAACGATATAAAAGGAGTACAATATAAACTAGGATTTACTTATTAGTATTCAGGCATAAAAAGTAACATGGTCTATTGAAATTTACTCAGAATGGAGGGACAGAAAAACAATATCTGTTCTAAGGATATATATTTTTTTTTAGAAAGCATACTTTTTTAAAATAAAATAAGCGTCTGAAGGGTTACATGATTTCTCGACTCTCCAAATTTTTCAACTCTCAGTAGCCATAGTTTTGGTAATCTTGCTTTTTCGACAAGCCAGTATATTCCAGCTCCTTTTTTAAATGTTCTACAGTGTAGAGAAATGGAAGATTCGTGAAAAGTATGGAGAGCGGAAAATCACATAACCTTGAGACACCTCATCATTTTTTTAAAAGTATATTGTAGTTCTATTTTTTCATGCTTAGACGATAACATCTTTAAAGGTGTTATTTCACCCAATACAGGCAATGGCTGTATTGGGTGAAATAGCTGAGCATGCAAAAGCTTACCAATAAATATACAATTTTCATTAATTTAATGGGAGCTTTTATTAATTATGTTATCTGAATTTTTTAATAATTAGGGGAGAGGGGGGCACATGTGAACAGGGGGCACATGTGAACATGGTATGTTTTACCAATATGATTTGAAATAAAAAATCTCGAAAAATTTTCAATTGATGGCAGTACTAGTCCTACCTCTCTGAAAAACTTTCAGAACAATGAGACATTTTGTTGGTCTATTCTGACAATTTCTTTGTATCAGCTGGTGTTGCATATATTATAATCGCTCGCTTCTCCAAGTGAAAGCATAATATAAATCAACTAATAAACTAAAATTAACTATTGCAGATCATTATATGAACATTCAGGTAAGTTTATGACAATTATTCTTTTTTTTTACTCAATTAAAAGTTCTTTATTTTTCAAGTTAGGTTTAAGAAGGATGATGGGGGCACTTGTGAACAAAACATCTGGGGCAGATGTGAACAGTTCACAAGTGCCCCTACATAGTATTAAGATTATTATCCTCATGATATTATAAGTTTAAAAAATATGTATGCATTTAAAATTATCATTATTTAATTTTCCATAATTAATTTATTAATTTTTCCTTTAAAAAAATTTTTTTTTATTAAATGGTTGATCGCGCATCACGCATATTAACTGATACACCTGAGAAAATAGAATTGTTAAAGCTACAAATGAAAAGATAGAAAAAATAAAAAAAAAGCATGAAAGAGTATTAGAGAAGAAAGAAAAAGGCCCATTACAACACCCGTGGAACATGAAGTTGCGAAAAACCCAATTACGGAAAAATTATTGTACAGCTGAAAAATTATTTTCTTATTGACAGTACTGTTGTACAGTTTAAATTCACATAGTAAGCTACAACCCCTTCAGTATAATACGTATCTATATCTGTCATATTAAAGATTTTTTTCCTTGAAATATGATGATTGCTTTGTGTTTTTAATCTTGTTCATATGTGCCCCAGGCATGTTCACATGTGCCCCCAATAGGGGCACATGTGAACAATTGAAGTCATTTTTCTAAAATATTATAAAGTAAAGAAATATTTTATTAAAAAATCTCAAAAAATTCCACAAGACAAAGAAAATACTAATTAAACATATGGACTTTTTTACTATGAAAAATTGATGATATTTTTCGAAAAGTGAAGAAATAAAAAAATTTGTTCACATGTGCTCCCCTATATGTTAGATTTTAAACGTTGATTACTGGTAAACACTAAAAACTATCATCAATTTGTATTAATAATTTTTTAATACATTTTTTAAACTGTCATTACAGCAATCAAATTATCATGAGCTAAATACCAACCGAAATATAAACCAAAATATAAGTTTAGTATTAATATATGTCATTAGTTGTTTAACTGTATTATCAGCATAATTCAGTAGTTTTTAGAGTTTTTTTTGTGAATTTGAATAAATTGTCCAAAGTTAAGAAAATACCGCCATGAGATAGCAATGTTAACAGAGGACACAAAGAGTTTTTGTAAAAACATGAAAATACTGTTATAGCAGAAATTCAAACGCATTTATTTTGGCTAAAAATTAAAATCAAATCCCCTTAAGCAGGCGAACAATATTCAAAATGCAATTAGGATTTAAAGCAATAAATACTGTTTTTATTAAATAATAATAACAATAATAATAATAATAGTTACAGATGATTTTTTACAAAAAATTATGTCTCGTTAAAATTTATTTTTTAAAAGCAAACTTATTCCAAGTTATATGCTCTAAGATGTACATAGTTCATTAATTTTAATTATGCTTTCCAACAGTTTTTTTAATGAAATTATTTTCTTTAAATTGCAGAATAAAATGTAATGACGTCATTTTGTTGAAAAAATTTTTAAACCATCACAGTTAGATGTTTAACGTCAGCTCAACGTTTAAATGAATTTATCATTTTAGAAAAATGTAATACGATTATAAGATAATTAAAAAGGAAAAGATTTGTTATACTGAAATTATAATTTTTAATAAATATCTGAAATACAAAAGACGAAAGAAGTTTGTAATAATTGATATAACAGCCTCTGTGGTGATAGGCAAATGAGTCCACTGAGCTCCTCAATGCTGAGTACATGCGGCAAAGTGGAGTAAAACCAGGTAATTTAGTAAAACCGTGTACTTTGGTTTTGTCGAAACTAGTTTTGTTTTCCAGCGGCCAAACTCTGAATGACACTAGACTACAGTCAAACAAAAAGAACTGCCAAATTGTCGTGTTATTGCTGATTAATACACGGCACTTGTACAGAAAAGCTTCTTTTACAATGTCAACTCTCCAATGTTCTCGTATTTTAATCTCATTAATCGATCATTACACTTAAAAAATATTAATTTTTAGTCCGGATTATTATACGTTTTCAAAGATTCACATCCTAACAAACAATAAGGATTCAATCCGATAAGTATGTCTGTTCTGTTTCGTTTCAACAATTTTCTTAAATTATCATATAAAATGGAAATGTCAGTT